GTCAGCAGCTGGGACACGGATCCCGGGAACCGCCAGTGTCAGTGACCGAGACACGGATCCCGGGAGCCGGTGTCAGCAGCCAGGACACGGATCCCAGGAGCTGCCGGTGTTGGCGCAGGGACACAGATCCCGGGAGCTGCCGGTGTCAGTGGCCGGGACACGGATCCCGGAAGCCGCCGGTGTCAGCGGCAGGGACACGGATCCCGGGAGCCGCCGGTTTTGGCAGCCAGGACACGGATCCCGGGAGCCGCCGGCTGGCTGGGCACGGCCGTGGTGGGGAGGGCGGCCGACCGCGCACGGACAATGGGGGGGTCAGCGAGGTTAAACGGTGACTAATTCGCCCATTCAGCGTCCCCTCCACTGCTCACTGCTCGGGGACACCCGCCGTGCCGTGACACCGCCCGTGTACCCCTGGGGTCACCCACACGCCTCCTTCCCCCAGCCTGTGTGGGGAGACGGGGGGCCCGGGTGGTCTCGGGGACCCCCAGACTCCGGTGCCGATGGCGGGGGATCGGCGCTGGGTTTGTCGCTGTGCCCACCGCGTCCCCCAGCCCGAGGAGGAGGCGCTGGTGCAAAGAGGCACCTGCGGTGTCCCCCGCGGAGGGGACAATGCTGGGAACTGGTGTGAACAATGGTGCCGCCGGGAAGCTCCCGGGCCCCCTCCCCAGCTGCCCCCCGCGGAAGCGGCCCCCCAGCCCGGCCATGCTCCGGCGGCAGGAATCCCGCCAGGCCGGTCAGTGGAGTCACCACAGGCCCTGGCCCTGTGGGTGAGGCTCCAGCCAGCACATCCCCCACCAGCAAAGCGCTGGGAGATTTTGGGGAGGGGGGCCCGCACGTCCCTGCCCCCAGCAACCCCTTCCCACGGGGGGTTGTGCCGTGGGGGGCTCGCAGGGGATTAGGGATGGGGACAGCCAGGGGTGACCTGTACCTAAGCCGAGCGCTTTATCTGAGCAGGAATCTGCTCCGGGGCTGGACGCTCTCTTTGCCCTTCACCGGGAGGGATTGGCCCTATCAAACCCTGCACCCCACACCAGGGGGGCTGTGTTTGGAGAGGGGCTGCTGCCTCGGGCACCCCCAGCCCTGAGTCAGCCACCGCCTTACTGGAAATCACATCCCCAGCGCCTCCGAAACGCCGCTGTCCGGGGCCCCCGTCAATCCTTGGCTCTGGTTTTTACAAATGACTTTCTTATTCTGAATAAGTGCCCTCTCCGACCTCACTGCGGGTCCCGGCGTGCCAGAGGCCGGGGGCTGTGTATGGGCTGGGAGTGGGACGGGAAACGCGCCATAAATGTGTTTATTCTTCGTTAAAGAACTCGTTAGTGTGCGCGGGCTCTTCCCCAGCCCAGCGTGGCCCCTCGGCTGTCCGCGGGACAAAGGGATGCATCCCCGGGGGCTGCCAGAGGAAGGAAGGAAAGAAAAGGAGAGAAGTAGCCCCTCAGCCTGTCCCCGCTGGTCCTGCTACCTGCCGAGACAGGGTGGGCTCTCCCCGCCGCTGCCTGCGTTGTGTTTTTTCCTTAAATACAGGAATTTGGGGTAGTTTAGCCCCTGGAAGGTGGAGGCTGCCGCCAGCCCCCATCTCTGCTGCAGTGGCCCTTGGGTCTCGTCCCCAGTCCCGGCTCACGTCACGGTGTGCACGTCCCAAACCGGTTTTGGAGAGAAGGAGGAAAACCGAGAGTGTTGCCACTTCCTGGCAATGGAAAAGAAACTTGACAATTAATTCCCAAAGCCTGAGAACCCGGAACGAAGCGGGGGGGAAGGGGAGGTGTTTTTAACTCAGACTCGAGATGCAGGGACACGAGCTCCTCCATGATGACGCCTCATGGGGCAGACAAGGGACTCCTGCCGAAAGGGGGATTTGCCTGGCACCAGCATGACCCTCGGCATTCCCGGAGCTTTGTGAGATGGCGTTTCCCCTCCTGCTTGTAATTGTCCCCCTTGCCCCAGCCCGGGGGGGTTCGGACCCCCGGAACGAACCGAGCCCGTGCCGAGGGCTCTCCTGCATTCCTGGCATTGCCAAGGGGCCGCCTCCCGCCTGCCCTTTGAAAGCCAGCGGGTTGGGATTTTCCTGTAATCTGGTTTGAAACATTAATCCGGTCATCCACACCAAACGCCGGGCCGGCATCCTGCCGGGGCGCTGGGCCGGGGTCAGGGCCACCCGCCCACCGCCTGCCTAATTCCTCCTCCACTTAATTATAGATCTGCTGGCAGCAGCCATCTGTCTCCGTGTCCTCAGCCGGCCGGGGGCCGAGGGGGCTGCAGGTGGGCTGGACACTGTGACCAGAGCCAGCCGTGCCCCTGGCATCAAGCACTCACTCCGGGCTGGGTCAGCACTGGGGGCACTGGGTGCGTGGTGTCACATCCCCCAGCCCAGGGGACTCTCAGGGAGGTGGGGAGCAGCTCCTGCTCCCCCGAGCCAGGCTGGGGCGGCTGTGCCGCAGCGTCCCCTGGCACCGCACCCTGCCGTGGGGACCCCACGGTAAGAGGATCTTCCTGGGGCAGCTGCGTTATGGATTAAGTCGTTTCCACCTCCCTAATTACGAAACATAAATGTATTGACTCAGCAGCACGGGGCGGCCTTGCCTGCAGCTCCTGCTCGCCGGTACCTTTGCACCGAGCACCGAGACGCTGCGTGTCCCTGCGAGGAGCTGGCCTTGAGCTGAGCAGAAACCAGGGCTGAGAGCAGGAAGCAGGGCACAGGCACGGGGCAGGGATCAGCACCAAGCAGGCACAAGACTCAGCACCTGCTGATTTCGGTGCAGCAGTGCCAGCAGCCGCCAGCCTGTGCCAAGCTCAGCTGCGCGTTGGGTTTCGCACGCTGCCAAAACCAGAACGTTTCTGTTCCTCAATTTGCATTTTGAGCCCCGCTGTCCCAGCTGTCCTGCGCTGCCGTTGGGGCTCTCGGGGCGCCGGCTGCTTTGCCGTTGGCTGCGGATGGCGTCAATGCAAGGAAATCCTGCGAGGGGCAGCTGGGAGTCACTCATCTCTGTCCCCTTCCGTGTCCTGCCTGTGCCCGAAGGGGAATGGGGGTGGTAAGGGAGGACAGGGGCAGTTTGCAAATGCGCTCTGTCACACACCACGGTGCACACCGGGCACGTCCCGGTCCTGGCTGGGCATGTCCTTGCCCCACAGTGCTGCCGGATGAGCACCTTGGGCAGGTGCCCATCACTGGCAGTTGGTTCTGCTGGCAGTGGCAGAGTTCAGCCAGGGTTTGGGGGGTCCCAAGGGGAGCCTGTTTCTCTGCTTGGCCCTGCAGTGGTCAGTGAGCAGCTGCCAAGTGCAGCGAAGCTGTCGAAGTCTCGCTGGTAACCGTCAGCAGCAGCTTGTGCGACATCCTTTGCCCGGCAGCCGTGGCGGGCGTGTTGGCAGGGCTGTGAGGTCCCCAAAACGGGGATCCCTCTGCTCACCATCCCTGGGGACCCCCTTGGCTTCATCACAGTTGGGTGAAAGTGGCTGCAGCCAGCTGAGCTTGGCATGGGACCACCAGGGCTGGTGGGGCAGCCGCCTGCTGCAGCCACTAATCCCCCTGTCCTGGCCGGCCACGCTCTCCTCAGCTGACAGTTAATTTTCTTTCATCCTCTTAAACGCGTCCATTCCCCTCGGAACTGAGTCCGGGGGGGGTGAGGGTGGATCATGACCCTGAGGGTCTTGGCAGTGGATGAACCAGCGTGTTCAGTGCTTGCCCAGGACGGTTCCGCACCCCGCAGGATCGGGCGCCGGGGAAGCCCTTTCTCTGTGTGTGGCTTTTGGAGCTGCTCAAGGAAACGGGGGAGGCTGGATTGGCACCAGCCCAGCACCCCTCAGCTAGCCTGGTGCAGCTCAGCCCCAAAAATCACAGTGCTGTTGCTGTGCCATGGCTCACTCACCCCTTGCTGGCGTGCTGGGGTGGGAGAGGGGCTTTGAGGGTCTCTGCCGGTGGTGCTGGTGGCTCCTGCCCTTGCCCTGGGGGGTGTGCAAGGGGCTGGTCGAGCCTGCCGAGTTTCCCAAGGGAACTGGGGGGGTTTATGGCCCCGCTTATCATGTGGCCCCATTGATCCCTTTGATCGGTGCCGGCGGGCGAGTCAGGCCCTGCGGGATCCGGATCCTCCCTGCAGGGCTGCAGGAGGAGGGGGCTCAATGCCCACCCCTCCACCTGCCCACGGTCCCGGTGCCACAGGAGGGAGCGGGCACATGGGTGACCCAGTGACCGGCAGCGGTGGCCCCGCAGCGCGTGCCTGGCGTGGTATGGGGGGTATTTATAGGCTCCCCACTGGCAGTTGTTCAGGGTTGTCATTGAGGAAAGCGGAGCTGCGGCCGCCACCCCGACAACGCCAGCCCCCACAGCCCCTGCTCCAACACCCTTCCCGGGATGGGGGGGATTATCCGCCCGCCTGCGGGCAGAAACGGCGCTGGGCTTCGGGAGAGGCCGTGTGGCGTGGCGTGGCGTGCGCCTCCGGCGTGCCGGGCGCTCCAACCGGCCCATCCTGCGCCATAAATCAGGCAGGAATGCGCCGGGCTGGCGGGGTGGGGGGTCCCGGCTGGAGATGCCCCAAGCAGAGCTGGTGATTGAGGTGCAGCATGTCAGAGCCTGGCCCAGCTCTGCCTGCCCCACTGCAGGACATGTCCCTGCAGGGCGGTGGCACACAGGCTCACGGCAAGGCACACGAGGCACTGGCTCCTGGCCATGGCTCTCTGTGGCACCCCAAGCGTGGAGGGACCACGCTGTGCTGAGCAGGCAGTGGATGCTAAAAATAACAGGGATCAGCGTTCCCGGGAGGAGAACTCCTGGCAGCCTGGGAGCCACTCCAGCCGTGATCCCAGCACCTGCATCCTGGAGCTGAGCTCCGAGCAGGGAATGGCACAGTGGGGCACAAGGTCAGCCCAAGCTGCAGGAACCCCCTGGACCTCTGCAGAGACCCCCGAGCCATTTGGTGTCCTTTGTGCCACAGGACTGCTGCAGTGGAAGCCAGGGGTCTCAGGTGGGGGTTAAGGGGGTTTCTGAGCATCTCTCTTTTCTTATGCAGCTGTACGAGCTGGATGGTGACCCCAGGAGGAAGGAGTTCCTGGATGACCTCTTCAGCTTCATGCAGAAGCGAGGTGAGTACCCCGCTGTGCACCCACCCTGTGCTCCCACGCCCACTCTGTGCCCACCGTGCTGCACCACACCCACCTTGCACCCCCCACATCCCCCCCAAGGCCAGGGGCTCATTTCCTTGCCCCTCATTAGTGCCCTGAGGTCACGGCTCCGGCTGAGCTGCTGGTTAATCTTTAACCCCTCAGCACAGCAGGGTCAAACCTGCTGGGCTGGATCCAGAGCCTGCGGCCCCCTCCCTTCACCCATCGCACCCAGACCTGCAGCCCCTCCCCACACATCACCCCTGGCTCTGAGCCCCCTTTCCCATCCCCTGGGTTATTGCAGGGGGCAAAGCCCCTCTCTCTGCCCGGGGAGAGGCCACGGTTGGGGGCCAGGGGGTGGGGAGGGCTGAAAGCCAAGCGTGCTGCTCGAGGGTCTGGTTCCTGCGTGGAAAACAGCTCTGGAAGTGCTGACACAGGGCTGGCTCCGGCCCTTTGTCAGACAGCACTGGGAAGGCACGTGTGCCTGCACAGGGGGGCTGGAGCTGCTGGCTGGGTCCCCCAGGGCTTCCCTGCCTCTGTCCTGTCCCCCGGCTGTGTCCCCTGCAGTCCCCCCACCATCATGGCCCACCTGCATCCATTGGGGTCCCCCGGAGCCCCCTCACCGCCGGGCTGGGAGGGTGGGGACCCCGATGAGGGAGCAGGTGCTGCCAGCCCCCTCCTCAAGCTGGAGGGATGATCCCCCCAGCTCACAGGAGACCCTCACAGCCGGATTGTGCCGCCCCCGTTATAAATAACTCGCGTTGCCGGGTGCCGGCTCAGCCCGAGGAACCGGCTCAGCCACGACAGGGCTGTGGCTGGAAACTGCGAGTTTCTGTTTCCTTTGTTCGGGGCTGATCTCACCGGGAGGGCCCGGGGAGGGGGGGAAGAAGGGGACAGTGGAAGGGGAGGGAGGAGCATGAGCCCCCCCAGCCCCTCCACTGCCCCGCAGGGGTCTCAGCAGCTGCGCCCCCGCTTTGGGTGAGACAGCAGCACCCCAGAGCCGCTCTCTCCTCCCGCCGCTCCCAGGGACCCCCGTGAACCGGATCCCCATCATGGCCAAGCAGGTGCTGGACCTGTACATGCTGTACACACTGGTGACCGAGAAGGGGGGTCTGGTGGAGGTCATCAACAAGAAGCTGTGGCGGGAGATCACCAAGGGGCTGAGCCTGCCCACCTCCATCACCAGCGCGGCCTTCACCCTGCGCACCCAGTGAGCGGGGGCTCGGAGGGGAGGGGAGGGGGCGAGTCCTTGGGGGTCCCTCTGTGCTCTGCAGGGGAAGGAGGCTCAGCACAGCCCCACGTGGGGAGGGAGCAGTGGGGTGGCACACGGGAAGGGGTGCCCAGCTGCTGCGTCACCCTCACCATCCCGTCTGGCCACAGGTACATGAAGTACCTGTACCCCTACGAGTGTGAGAAGCGCGGGCTGAGCAACCCCAACGAGCTGCAGGCGGCCATCGACAGCAACCGGCGGGAGGGCCGGCGGCAGGGCTTCGGCGGCTCCCTCTTCGCCTACTCGCCCGGCGGCACCCACGGCCTCCTCTCCTCGCCCAAGCTGCCGGTGCCGGCGCTGGGGTTGGCCTCTGCCACCAACGGCGGGGCCATCACGCCAGGCCAGAAGATCAAGAAAGGTAATGATGGCGCTGGGCTCTGCCTGCTCCACAGGGTTTGGCTGCCACAGGTCTGGTTGCAAGCTGAGCCCCATCCTAACCCTGGAGATGTAATAATAACAGGGAGGGCTGGGGGAAGTGGGCGGGGGGGTGATGCTCCTCTCCCTTCCTTGGGCTCCAGGGCTCAGCCCACAGACCCTGATTCCCAGGGACCCTGATTCAATCACCCATCTCTGAGCTTTGGAGGGACAGCAGGGCACCAAACTGTTGTGCCAGGGCCGGGGACACCCTGGGGTGGTGGCACCCACCTACCCCTGTGCCCCATCCCTGACACCCGCTCCCCCGGCAGAGGAGGACTCTCCCATCCCCATCTCCATGCCCAGCCGGCTCCCGGTCTCCCTGGCCGGACACCCGGTGGTGGCGGCGCAGGCGGCCGCGGTGCAGGTGGCGGCGGCCGCCCAGGCCGCGGCGCTGGAGCAGCTGCGGGAGAAGCTGGAGTCGGGGGAGCCCCCGGAGAAGAAGCTGGCGCTGGTGACGGACGAGCAGCAGCGGCTGATGCAGCGGGCGCTGCAGCAGAACCTCCTGGCCATGACGGCCCAGCTGCCCATGAGCATCCGCATCAACAGCCAGGGCACGCGCTCGCCAGGTCAGTGCCGGCCCCGGCCTCCCGCCCCGGCTGAGCTCCCGGCCCCGGCGGGCTCGGTAACGCGGCTCTCCCCGGCAGAGAACCGCCCGGACGCCGCTGCCGCCAGCAGCAACGGCACCAACAGCATCAGCATGTCCGTGGAGATCAACGGCATCGTCTACACAGGTGAGAGAGGGGCACCCCCGGGCACCGCCGCCGTGCCACGCTGCCACCGCCCTGCACCCCGTCTCACAGCGCAGCTTTGCTCTCTCCCCAGGTGTGCTGTTCGCCCAGACGCCCGGCCCTTCCTCCTCTTCCTCCTCCTCCTCCTCCTCTGCCTACAGCAAAGGCAACGGTGGCAGCAGCCGGAGCAGCGGCGCTGGGAACGCGCCCCCCGGCCCGGCCGGCCTGGCCGTGCCCCCCAGCTCTACCTCCAACAGCGCTTCGCCTTAACGCCCCCGAGCCACGGGGCACCGGGGCTCACCGGGGCTCACCGGGGCTCACCATGGGCTCACCGGGGCTCACCGGGGCTCACCGGGGGCTCACCGGAGCTCACCGGGGCTCTCTGGGGGCTCACCGGGGCTCACTGCGGGCCGACCGGGGCTCTCCAGGGCTCACCGGGGCTCACTGGGGTTCACCGGGGCTCACCGGGGCTCACCGGGGGCTCACCGGGGCTCACCGGGGCTCACCGGGGCTCTCTGGGGGCTCACTGGGGCTCACCGGGGGCTCGCTGGGGCTCACCGGGGCTCACCGGGAGCTCACCGGGGGCTCGCCGGGGCTCACCGGGAGCTCACCGGGGGCTCACCGGGGGCTCACCGGGGTTCACCGGGAGCTCTCCGGGCTCTCTCTGGGGTCTCAACAGGATTTCACCGGGATCTCACCAGGGTTTCATTGAGATCTCACCCCTGGCTCTCACTGGGGTCTCACCAAGGGTCTTTTCAGGCTCTCGATGGGCTCTGCCCTTGTTCTCGTGTTGTTGGATTTTCCTTTTCCAGGCAGAAAAGCTTTAGCCCGGGGGGGTTTTGCCGGAGCCGCTCCGGGACCGTTTACCTCACTCACATCACACTTTGCACTGTACATTTATTATTATTATTATTATAATTATTATTTTTTAACTCGTGTTACCTCCAGACAGACGCACGGACGCCTGCCGACGCGAGCTCTAGCGAAACCCCCCGGAATTCTAAAGGAAAAAAGAAAAACCAAAAATCCTAAAAAAAAAAAAAAAAATCGGAAATAGGGAGATATTTTATTCATTTCCATCCTTTTCTCTCCTTTGTTTTGGGAACTCCACTCTCTGCAGGATTTTAAGAGGTTGTTTTTGATTGTTTTGTTGTAAATAGCTTCTATTTTATTCTCTTAAAAAAAAAAATCAATCTTTTAACATGCAAATTATATATATTAGTCTTCATCAGGGAAAATGGGAGCTTGGAAAAAAGTTGGAATCTCCTTTCTCCTCTCCTTATCGGTGGTTGGGTCCAGCTCTGCTCCTGCCCCCACCGGCAAATCCTAATTTTTATTCCTCCCCCTGCATAAAACTACTGTTTAAAGCCACTTTGGGCTTATTTCCTCCAAAAATCAAGCAGGATCCAGAGGATGGGGATGCTCGGAGCTGCAGGACGCTCCGGAGCTCAAGGACAGCCCGAAGGACCTGAGCATTTCTTTTAAGCCTCACAATCTCAGGTTTTTGGTTTTTTTTTTCTTTTTTTACTATTTCCCCCCACCCAAAAAATAAAGAAAAAAAAAGAAAAAAAAAGAAATATTCACCCACATCTGCGTGAGACACAATCCAACCCGATACCGAAACGCCCTCACCCCCCTCGGTATCTCCGTTCTCAGGTTCCCACCTGGAGCACAGGGTTTTCCCCCTTCCCCAGGTGCCCCTGGAGGGGGGTCCAGGCTGGTCCCCCCCACCTTTATTTTTAATTTCACTCGGGGAAGAAGTGGCGATCTCAGGGGATTTGGGTTTTTTTTTTTCCAGCTTTTTTTTTTGTTGTTTTCAGCCTTTTTTTTTTTTTTTTTTTTTCTTTTTTGGGTTTTTTTTGTGCTGGAATCTCCCCTTGGTGGCTCCGTGGGGAGTGAGGGGGTCTTGGTGGCTCCATGGAGCCTTTTTTTTGGGGGGGGCCTGGGAGGGTCCGTCCAGCTCCTGCTGCTGTTGGGGTCCAGCCCAGCTCCCCATAAGGAGAAATTCCAAGGGGGAATTTTCATGCCCAGGGCAGGCTTAGATTTTCTTAGTGATTTTTGCATTGTACAGTCACTATTTTGGGTTGTTTTGGGTTTGGTTTTTTTTTATTTTATTATTATTTTCCCTCCCTTCCTTTCCCTGCCCCTCCCTTTGTTCTTATTTTTGAGAGCGGGTGACTTTCCACTTTATTTTTCTTTTTTTGCATATCGATTTAAAAATAATAAAAAAGAGCCTAAATCAGTTTTTTTTAAGGGGGGGTTTGGAAAGAAAATTAAACTAAAGGAGCGGCCCCAGCTGCAGCCGCCCCCCTCCCCCCAGCGTTGCATATCTTAACTCAGGTAAAAAAGGAAAATGAAAAAAGAAAAAAACCACAAAAGACAAAAAAAAAAGGAATAAAAAAATAAACCACATTCTACCTCTGAGCGCGGCGGCCTCGGGCGCACCCGGGGCCCCGGTGAAAGATTTCAGTTTTGCAAAACATTCAGGTATTGAGACTTTTTGATTATTATTAAAAAAAAAAAAGTAAAAATTAAAAAAAAAAAAGAGAAAATAAACTTAAAAAACACTGAAAGTTTACATTTTATAATAACATTATTATACAGATTGTATTTAAACGTCAGAATATTTAAGACAATTGTAACCCTGTAAAGTGAAGAAATATTAAAAAAAAAAAAAAAAAGTTGTGTTGTTTGAGGTTCTTTGTCCTCACAGGGCTGTGGGGTTTCCATAGGATTTCCTGTGGGACATGAATGGATTTATAGGGTGATGATAGGATTATAAAATGTGCATGGGGTCCCCATAGGGCTGTGGGGTGTCCAAAGGCAGGGTGCTCATGGGGTTCCCCCATAACTATGGGGTGCCTGTAGGATTGTGGGGTGTCCATAGGATTGGGAGGTACCCAAGGCACCCTTAGTTTTGTGGGGTGCTCATGAGGTTCTCACGAAGTTATGGGGTGCCTATGGGATTGTGGGGTGTCCGTGTCGTACCTATAGGGTTAAGGGGCATCCATAGGGTGCCCACAAACCTGTGGGGTGTCCATAGGATTGGGAGGTATCCAGAGCACCCTTAGTTTTGTGGGGCGCACATGGGGTCCCCAAAAAGCTTTGGGATGTCCAGAGCGTCCCCATAGGACTGTGGGGTATCTATAGGGTTAAGGGGTATCCATAGGGTGCCCACAAGGCTCTGGGGTGTCCATAGGATTGGGAGATATCCGAAGCATCCTTAGTTTTGTGGGGTGCTCATGGGGTCCCCACAAGGCTCTGGGATGTCCAGAGTGTCCCCCACAGCCCTGTGTGGGTCCCCCCATGGTTATGGGGTATCCACAGGGCACCCACAAACCTGTGGGGTGTCCATAGGATGAGGAAAACCCTTAGTTTTGTGGGGCGCTAATGGGGTCCCCACAAAGCTCTGGGATGTCCAGTGTCTCCCACAGCCTTGTGGGGATCCCCCCAGGGTTTTCATGTGGGGTATCATTAGGGTGCCCACAAACCTGTGGGGTGTCCATAGGATGAGGAAAACCCTTAGTTTTGTGAGGAGCTGATGGAGTCCCCACAAAGCTCTGGGATGTCCCTCACAGCCCTGTGTGGGTCCCCCCATGGTTATGGGGTATCCACAGGGCGCCCAAAAACCTGTGGGGTGTCCATAGGATTGGGAACTATGCGGGGCACCCTTAGTTTTGTGGGGCGCACGTGGGGCCCCAAAAAGCTCTGGGATGTCCAGAGGGTCCCCATAGGACTGTGGGGTATCTATAGGGTTAAGGGGTATCCATAGGGCACCCACAAACCTGTGGGGTGTCCATAGGATTAGGAAAACCCTTAGTTTTGTGGGGCGCAGATGGGGTCCCCACAAAGCTCTGGGATGTCCAGTGTCTCCCACAGCCCTGTGTGGATCCCCCCATGGTTATGGGGTATCCACAGGCTGCCCACAACCCTGTGGGGTGCTCATGGGGTTCCCCCGTAACTATGGGGTGCCTGTAGGATTGTGGGGTGTCCATGTCGTACCTATAGGGTTATGGGGTATCCATAGGGTGCCCACAAACCTGTGGGGTATCCATAGGATTGGGAGGTATCCAGAGCACCCTTAGTTTTGTGGGGCGCACATGGGGTCCCCAAAAAGCTTTGGGATGTCCAGAGCATCCCCATAGGACTGTGGGGTATCTATAGGGTTAAGGGGTATCCATAGGGTGCCCACAAGGCTCTGGGGTGTCCATAGGATTGGGAGATATCCGAAGCATCCTTAGTTTTGTGGGGTGCTCATGGGGTCCCCACAAAGCTCTGGGATGTCCGGAGGGTCCCCACAGCCCTGTGTGGGTCCCCCCATGGTTATGGGGTATCCACAGGGTGCCCACAAACCTGTGGGGTGTCCATAGGATGAGGAAAACCCTTAGTTTTGTGGGGCGCACATGGGGTCCCCACAAAGCTCTGGGATGTCCAGAGGGTCCCCACAGGGCTGTGGGTCCCCCCATGGTTATGGGGTATCCACAGGGCACCCACAAACCCGTGGGGTGTCCATGGGGTCCCCCGTGGCACACCCGCCGTTCGGGGTCACCCATCCAGCCCCGAGCGGGGCGGGCCCTGCTGAGCTTCCTGCCGCGCGCGCAGCTCCGCCCCGCGCGCCCGCGGCGGCGCCGCTGCTGATTGGCCGAGGGCCGGGCGGGGAGGCGGTGCCGCTGCTGCTGATTGGCCGGAGGCCGGGCGGGGAGGCGGTGCCGCCGCTGCTGATTGGCCGGGGCCGGGCGGGGAGGCGGCGCTCTGGCCGCGGCCGCGCTCTCTGTGGCCCTGGCGGACCGCGAAGATGGCGGCGCCCATGGAGGTGGCGCTGGTGTCGGACGCGGCGGGGCCGCTGTGCAACTGCTCGGTCTGGGAGCTGCACTCGGGCTCGGCCCTGCCCGGCTACCGCGGCGGCAACAGCGGCCCACGCGGGTTGGCGCTGCTGGGCGGCGAGCACCTGCTGGGGGCTCAGCTCGGCAAGAGCTACATCAACGTCTGGGAGCTCCAGAGGAAGGTACCGGCGCGGCGGGCGGGCCGCGGCTCGGGGACGGCCCTGGCCTCACACGGGGGGACTCCGGGCCCTGTGGGGGATGTGACGGGGCCGCTCTCCCCGCGGACCCCCCGGCTCTGCGATGAGGAGCCCCTCCGTCTGCAGAGCCCCCCCAAATCCGTGTCAGACCTCCCCATGGCCCCTCTCTCCACAAAGACTCCCCATAGCCCCTCTCTGCGTGGAAACTCCGCTCTGTGCTCAGACACCTCCTCATGGCCCAATTCTCTGCAGAGACCCCCCATGGCCCCTCTCTGGACCCTCAGACCTCCCCTCCCTCCATTCCGACCCCACCACCACGGGCAGGTGCCCCCCATCCCTCTGTT